ATAAACTTTCTTGCTTATGCATACACCATCCCTAAAAGTATGTATGAATAACTTCCTGGGTAAGGAGTGTAGGGAAAAGGAAGGCAGAAGATAGTGAGTCTGGCACTCTTAGAAAACCGGGAGCTATGTAACCATTTCTCAGCTTAACAGCAGTTTGGGCAGACACTGGTGAGGGCTGTTTTGGGACTTTGGCTGCAGGACATCACAACTAAACTTGGAAATGCTGAAATACCCTTAAACATTGCATACCCACAACATATGCTCGCTTCCTCCAGCCTGAAATCTGGTCCTGTGTTAATCTAAGAGTGAGCGCCTAGAAAGAATTTTCACATGACAGGTAGGACTCCTGTGAGCATACTTTAAATAGGTGAGGCCCTTAGCACCCCCAGCCAGGGGATTTGGTTGCTACTCAAACAGGAGTGACGTTTAGGTTCATTCTTTCACCAAATGCTTGGATAGCATCCGGATATATTAGATCTAAATTCTCTACTCTACACTTGTAGGAACTCCATACTCTGCGATCACTAACAACATCAGTATATGGTTTTTTAAAAATTTAATGAAATCACTAATACCAGATTATATTGAATAATCTTTTCAAGAATATTTTGCTCTTCACTGTGAAAAACACCCATTATAAGATTTACCTCATTTCACTACCTTGATTTTTGTTTGTTTGTTTGGTTTTTGGTTTTTTTGGTTTTTTGAGACAGGGTCTCACTATGTAGTTGAGACTGACCTGGAACTCACTATGTAGCCCAGGCTGGTCTCGAACTCACAGCGATCCTCCTGCCTCAGCCTCCCGACTGCTGGGATTACAGGTGTACGCCACCACGCCCGCTACAACCTTGATTGTTGAAGAGAAAAAAAAAAATCGGTCTTCTATCAGTTTGGATATTAGGTGTGCAGAAAAGAGTTAAGATAGCAGGCCTGAGAAGGCTTGTTTTTAGACTGGATTGTTTGCAGAACTGACTCTCGTTTAGCATCTGAAAAATCCAATTTCCTGAGATATCCCACTATTTAAACTGATAGCAACTGCTTACAATTCTTAAATGTTTGTGCAATCAACGTAGTTAGCACTGAAGACCTGCTTTCTTTCCTTCTGAGAGTTCAAGACTTTGGAAACTGCCAGTAGAAGCTGATTTGAATGCAAACACTTTAAAGACTTCTTTGCTAGACACATTTTAGGTGTTGTCACAACTCCTCACAAGGTGAATTACCTCCCCCAATGGGGACCCTTGGGTGCTTGCTCCTGGCTTGTCTTCCAGATTTCATCCGTGTGCCTTTTCCCTTCCTTAGCTAACTTTGCTTTGTGTCCCTTGCTTTAAAGAATCACAGCCTTGAGTATGACTTTTGCTGAGCCCTGTGTATTCCATAATGAATCACCAAGCCTGGGTGTGGTCTCAGGACTCTAACACATTAGTGTAAAGGGTAGATACTGTAAGAGACAAGTACTAGGAGACGAGGGTCTCAATGCAGTGGTTTATTTCTGGCTCGTGTAAAGGTATCATCTCCAGTGTTTCCTGTGGGTGGGTGGCTGTACTTAGTTATACAGGTCTCACATACCTTCCATCTTGGACTTCATCTTCCTGCAGTGGTTTATTTCTGGCTCGTGTAAAGGTATCATCTCCAGTGTTTCCTGTGGGTGGGTGGCTCTACTTAGTTATACAGGTCTCACATACCTTCCATCTTGGACTTCATCTTCCTCTAAGTCTTCTGAATCTTCTCCAGATTCTGCAGATAGTAAAAGAGACGATGAGAAAAAATACTTTCTTCTTTTCCTTTCTTCAATACTGGGAATTGAACCCAGGGCCTTCACACTTAAGTGATCCTCCTGCCTCAGCCTCCTAGAGTACTGGTATTACAGACATATGCCACCACTCCTGGCACATAGCCTCTTCTTAACTTTAGCACCCACATTGGCCCCAAGGTGACACACATCACTTGATGTACCCAAATTCCATTGCTGACTCCTAGGCATATGGTCCCACTTAACTGCAAGGGGCTAGAAAATGTGATCTCTGCTCCGTGGCCACTCCCTGCAATAACTGTGGATGACCCGTAGCAACTCCATAATTACATCCTTGTTATAAAACCACTGTGCACTCAGCTTCCTACCTGGTGTCAAGGAGGAACACACAGAAGCAAGGTTGTTCTTGCATATGTGGAGATCGACATGGAAAAGCAGATTGCTCACCTCAAGGTTGAGGAGGCAAGGCTCATTTTTTTCAGGAAGTTGTCTCATCAGACCCTTTCCTCTGTTTCTATAGTAACTGATGCCAAATCCTCTGATAGCATTTATCACAGTGCATTGAAATTTGCCATTTTCTTGTCTGACTCTTCCGCTGAATTCTATTTTTGATGACACAAATTCAGGTGGCTCAGTGCCCAGCATGGAACCTGGGCCATCCAAGATGTGCTGTGAATCCTGAATGAATGGCTCACTGTCAGTGAGATGCAGCGTGGCCCATGAAGTGAGCATGTACTGCGCAGCTAATCTCTGACTTTCTCTGAAACTCAATTTCTCATTCTTAAAATAGGAAGAAAAAAAAACTAATTTTGCAGAATTGCCATGGGAATTTTCTGAAATTATAAATGAGTGTGTAGCACCTGTCCCTATGCTGGGCACACAGAGTCTATAAATAGTTTTTGTTATTAACACAGATCACAGCCAACGAGGTGCTGATTTCGATGTCACTTATTCCAGATCCAGACTAGAAACTGCTAGAAGTGGCCAAATCCTGTGCACGGTGGTGAGAGGGACAAGATGTAAAGACAGAAACTGCATCTCACTGTGGAGTCTCTCTGGGAGTGGGAAGGGATTTCTCCCCTTGTCCTTGACTCACAGAAAGTTGGATTCATGATTCCACAGACGGTGCTCACTCTCTCCAGGTTCCGCAGAGACCAGGCTCATCTCACACTTCGACAGCTATGCTCTCCAAGAGAAAGCTCTGAGTCTTTCACTTCCCTACTAAGACATCTCCTGTGCGTGTCCACCTTGAGCTAGGCAGCAAGGATGTAAAGTGACCCATAGGGACCAAGCTTCTCTGTCACAGAACTTACATTTGGGGGGATAAGATGGACAATAAACCAGGCATTAGACCATAGACATTGAAAAATACGACCTTAGGTGGTGTCCTGGATATAGTTACTCTTTCTTCAAGGTCTGCATTCCCTAAGTGAACTGCTGTTAAATCTGTTGTTTGTACCTCCTCTGCTAGCGCCATTTGGACTTCAGTAATCATTTTGTAATTACGCACATGTATACATGTATGCACATACACTCTAAACTTCTTCTCCTATATCCTTTTTGATTGGTCTATTCTCTATTTAATAATTATCTAAGGTTTGCAACTATTTTTCACTGGGGTCCCGTTATGTTTCCCAGGCTGGTCTCAAACTTGTGAGCTCAAGCAATCTTCCCGCCTCAGCCTCGCAAGCAGCTGGGATTAAAGGTGTGTGCCACTGTGTCCAGGTTCAACTTTTTTTTTTTAACACAGTGGAAACTTTTGTTTTTTCTAAGCTGTATGTTAAGGGAGCCTCAGCATAAACACTATTTTTCTCTGGAGGAAGAGGAGGTCCCCACTTGGTAAACCTCCAAGGAACTCAAGTTTATGGTTTGGAAACCAGAGATGAGGCAGTAGGAGGAATCTGACAGTGACATTATAGGCGAGTACAGTGCATTGACTCATGAATCAGAAACCCCCTGCAACCCAACAAGTGCTGCCTTGCAGTACAGACTCCTCACTTCCCTTCCTAAAAGCCAGTTCCCAACCCCTCTCCTCCAGCCCCATGCCTCCCCTCCCTCCTGTCCAGCTCAGCACAGTTACTTGGTGTCCTTACTTCGGTCTTTGTTGGCAACGTAGAAACCACCTTCTCACCTCTACAAGCAGATGACTCCCTCCTGCTCCTGTACGAGTACCGTGTGCCTGTTCCCACCTCTCCCTTCCCTCCTTCTCCTGAGGAGGACCCATCTCCATGGGCTACTCTTCTTAGGGAACTTAATCCTTTATTACCCCTTGATATTCCGGGAGCTTCAACCTCTGGATTCTCCCTGGTAGGGGTGTCAGTCTCTCCTGTCTTCGTACAGCTGTGTTCTTGAATCTCATCAAGCAAAACTTTCCTGATTCTGTCTCCTCATCTCTAGCCCGGGCTTTCTTCTCTGAGCTCCAGACATTTATCTGTTTGCCCTGGTGCCTTCTCCACAAGGACGCCTAGCAGCATTCGGCAGTCTGCACATCTGAAGAGAGTTCTGTTTTCTTCTCCAGACATAATCTCCCTGCAGTTCCCCATTCAGAACCTCCTGGGAGTCCTTCCTGACCCCTGGGCTTCCCACTTTGTTCCGGTCTCCCTTCATCCTATCCACGCCACAAACAGAACATCTTCCTTTTGTTTTACGAGTACAAAGGGAGGACATCCTTGTCATTCTCCTGATCTTCTGAGGAAAGCGTTCAGTCTTTTGAACTGGAATGTGATATTAATGGTGATGTTCCCTGGAGGTGCTCTGGTGGGTTGAGAGGTGCTCTTGTTGAGTGTCTTCATCATGAAAGGATGTTGAGTTTTCTCTAATGTTTCTTTTAAATCTATTGAGCGTATGACGGGATTCAATTTTCTAACGTTTTATTGGGTTTCTGCATGGTAAGTGTTCTTTTTGAACAAGCTGAGATCACATCACAGCCCTGCTTGAAAACTCCTCGCTGTATTCCTGCTGCACTCTGGAGGTCCCCGCAGCTCGGCCAGAGATCCCCTTGTGGGACGCTGTGCAGTGCCACTCACTCCTTAGCCTTGCTGGAGCCACCTCTGTCCCACTTCCCACTCTCTCACTACTTCTCCCAAGAACTGTTTCTAATAAATCATGCCACCCGCGTCTTCTTCTCAGGCTTGCTTGTGGGGAAGTTGGAAGTTCTCCTCCAGTGAAGGCGAAGGAGCGCCTCTGGGCACAGCACCCTCACACACACCCAGCCTCTTTGCCTAACCTGTCCCTGTGGGTTTTCCTGCAGGTGATTTACGCCCTGAACACCCGCCAGGATGAGGCCGAGGCCAGCATGGAGGTGCTCCGGGAAGCGCACCAGGAGGAGCTCCAGAGCGTGGTGGCTGAGACCAAAGCCAGGCTCCTGCAGGACCAGGGCCGCCCCAAGGATGACGAGGAGGGCCTGCTCCGGCAAATCCAGGCCCTGGAGAGCGCCCTGGAGCTGCAGAAGAAGCTGACCCAGGAGGCCCTCGCTGAGTCGGCTGCGCGCAGGCTGGAGACCAAAGAGAGAGAGCTGAGGGTGGAGGCCGAGCACGCAGAGCGGGTGCTGATGCTGTCCAAGGAGATGCTGGAGCTCAAGGCTGACTACGAGAACAGGCTGCGGCACCTGGCGAGCCATGACGGTTCCCCATGGGGCCAGCTTTCCCAGGAGAGCCCGGAAGCCAAGCCAGAGTCTGGCCAGATCCCAGAGATGCAGGAGGTGCTGCTGGAGGTGGAGCGGCTGCGGGCAGAGAACCAGCAGCTGAGCCAGGACTACGCCCGCAAGGCTGAGGAGCTGCAAGCCACCTACGAGCGGGAAAATGAGGCCATCCGGCAGGCCATGCAGCAGTCTGTGAGCCAGGCCCTGTGGCAGTGGCAGGAGAAGGAGAGCGACCTCCGCAAAAACTTCCAGGGGCAGGAGTCAGCCCTGCAGGCCCAGGTCAGGAAGCTGGAAGGGGACCTGGAACACAGGGGGCGCAAGATCAGTGATCTGAAGAAATATGCCCAGAAGCTGAAGGAAAAGAGCCAGGTAAAGCCACACCTCCCCGTGGGGGAAGTAGGCAGGGCCGCTAAGGCTGGATACCTACTATGTGTCAGGCAGGCACTGTGCTATATACTTGACTTCTACCAGTGTATCACTGTCTCCATCGAGTTCAGCTACACTCATTCAGCCAATATCTACTAAACACTGTGTTCCAGGTCCTCGGCTATCAGAAGGGGCTGCATGGTAAGCTAGACTTGGCCCTCACCTCAGTGAACTTAGAGATTTACAGTTTACAGATGACAAATTCAGGGATATAAAGACAGGCCTAGCTGGGCACACGAGAAAAGATTTGGGGCTCAGTTCAGCCTAATTCTAAGTCTGTGTTGATTCTGTAACAACTCTCCTGAAAGTCCTTGGACCTTTGTGTGCAAAGGGCAGGGCCACCCATGAGTGAGTTATATGAGTTCTACAGAAGCACAGAACCCCATCGCTGAAAGTAGCAGCAGCTAAAAATTCTCTCTGAGCACTTTTTTTTTTTCTCTGCCAAACACTATCTCATTGAATCCTCCTCACTAGGGAAGGGATAAGTGCCTTGCCCGGGGCCATGCAGCCAATCAGGAAATGCACTGGATTGATGAACCATGAGCCACTAGTTCCGGGGACTCAGGGCTCCTGTCGAGGGCCTGCCCACCTCCAGATCTGATGGCTGGCTGTTCAGTGCATATGGCTGCTCTCTATTCAGAGCCATAAGCAGAGAACTGAGGCCCTTCCTGTCATTTAGGACCTGGATGTGCAGCTGAGGGAAGCTCGGCAGGAGAATTCAGAGCTGAAGAGCACTGCCAAAAAACTTGGGGAGAAGCTGGCTGTTGCCAAAGACAGACTGATGCTACAGGAGTGTCATATGACACAGAAAACAGGTGAGATGCCCAGAACAGGTCCTTAAAGCTGAACGGTTAGCTTCCAGGATGGCCTGGTGCTTCTGCAGCCTTGAGACTATAAGGAGGACCAAGAGGATGGGCAGCGCTGTTGTATGTCACCTGCCAAGTGGGTGAGTCCAATCCCTGTGGGGCACAGGTGAGCTTTCACCTGTCACCTAGACCTGCTCATCTGGAGCTGGCATGGTCAGACAACGAGAAAGTGTGACGCAAAGCCAGGTGTGTGGCACATGCCTCTAATGCCAGCCTCTGGGGAGCTGAGACAGGCCCAGCCTGGCAACTTAGTAAGACCCTGTTACAGATTTTTAAAAAATAAAAATAAAAGGGCTGGAGATAAAACTCGGTGCAAAAGTCCTGAGCTTAATCCTCAGTGCCACAACAACAAAGGTATGATCAGAAAGGACCCCTTGCCCCCAATCATTTCCCTGCCAGGCCTGCATTTCTCAGCATTGGCTTTTCCCTCTACATCTTTAAATAGGGCTTTGTAATTTTAGGATCATTTCACCCACTTTATTAGGTTTTCTCCATAATTCTGTGCAATCGGTATGGTCATGCTCCCATGTTACAGATAAATAAATGAGACTGAGAAAGGATAGTGACCAGTTTCATGTCAGCCAGACGGTTGACAATAAAGCTGGTTTGTATATCTAAGAATGTCTGACTCCAAGTGCCGTCCACTAGGCTCCCTGAACACAAAGTTCCTGAAATACCCACTGGGTGGCCAGCTCAAAGACAAAGGCAAAAACATGGGCTCTGACATCTGGGAGCTTACAGGACTGTTACACTACAGCCCCAGGCATACTGTGGTATCTGGGGATGGCCCAGGCAACAGGGCAATGATACTTCACTTCTGGGGAAATCATCTTTTCATGGGCTGGAAAGGTGAGGAGAATAGATTTGAGTTTGAACTAGAAGGGAATTGAGAGTGTAGAACAACAGTCTTCAAAAACATGGCATGAGTGGGCTGGGGATTTAGCTCAGTGTTTCTGCCACCTACCTCTCAAGCACAATGTCCTGAGTTCCAGCCCCAGTACCAAAAAGCAAAACAAAACAAAAATGGCATGAGTACCTCTGGAAAGAGGAAAAGAAAAAGTAGTGATTCTATTTACACTGATTTTTTTTCTCATCCTTTAAATTCCAATGGATGTACATATGCTGGGAAATATGCTCTTTTAATCTATATGAAGTGCAACCAAAAAACTGGAGTTTACAAGGGGAGAGCACAGCAGTTATTTAAGCTCAGGATGCTGCTTGAGCAGTCACTGTGGTGATCACACTTGAGGACCAGCAGGCCACAGAGCAGGGAGGACACGAGCAGTGGTAGAATAGTTGCATGCATGGCAGAATGGGGACCTGGCTGCCGAAGGCCTTGAACATGAGGCCAAGGCCAAGAACACCTCAAATGATGTTGAAACTTATGTTGCAGATGACATGAAGACTGAGAATGACATCCTAAGGGAAGCAAATGACTTGGAAGCCCGCAGTCTTCGTCCTCAGCAGGACCAAAGCCTTCCCAAGGAGCCTCCCAGCACGAAGGGTGGCACAGATACACAGGTAGTACCTGACCAGCCAGAGGACAGAGAAGGCACAGGGCGCTTTACCAAATGAGCTTCAGGGAGGGATCATTCCCCAGACACAAGGGATTCCAAGTAGCTGGAATCCTTAGGTCTAATGATTTCAAAACAAGATGAATCCAAAGTGGAGTTCCAGCCAGCTTCCTGCCAGTTCCATGCCATTTGAAACTAGGCGAATATAAGCAGAATTTGCCCTATTTTCTATGCCATCTCCTAGGAAACTAGAAATCGCTTAAAGGCCTACTACATATCCTCAGTCAAAACAAACAAAGCAGCCTTTAGAAATGACTGTAGTATGCACTGGAACATCTGATCGTGTGATGATAAATACATCACTCCAAAGAGCCCTCTTCCAATGACAGATAAGGTCTCTTATAAATAACCAACTATATACTCTTATAAAATGTATCGCACCTTCTGATAACTGCTGTAAAATCAATATATAAATGTTGTAAGAGTTGCATAAAACAGGAGTGGTGAGTCCCTGAACCTCACCCCTTCTCAGCAGTTTTACAAGTTCTTGATTTTTTATAGACCAAAGAAGAGGCAAATGTCGAGACAGAATATATGAAGCAACAGTTTGAAGAAGACCTTCATAGGATCAGGCGTCAGACTGAAGAGGAGAAGAAACACCTCCAAGACCAGCTCCTGAAGCGCCTGGAAGACTTGGTAAAGAAGCACACGATGGAAATCAAGTCTGTGCGCTCCTCCGTGGAGGCTGAACGAAAGAAGCTGCAGAAGGTGAGACCTGTGTTCACGCAGACAGTGGTGGCTCTCTCCTTTCTCTTACCTCCTTCTCTTCTTATTTCCTGTTTCCACGTCCAATTACTGTGCTCCTGCTTGTGTGCATATCTAAGCTGTTTCTCCTAGGACACCCAGTTGAAGGACCCAGTACTGCCCAGAGAGACTGTGGGCCTTCTGCAGGAGACGGGGGATACCCTAAAGACTATGAGATACCCATAAGGGCCCTGATGATGAGGAGTTGAATTGTGTCAAAGGAGCCTGTAATTTTGGGAAGTTCGATTCTGTTCCCTCAGCAAAAACAAAAACAGTCTCACCAGCTGATAACTCAGGCCTGGAACACTGCCTGGATCCAAATCCCCCTGCACCATCCTCAGCAAGTTACTTAACGTGGATCCGCAGGGCAGGGAAGGAAGGCCTGGGCCTCGAGTTGCTCATTTTGTAAGAGGACTCATTTTGTCTGACTGTCCATGATAATAACAGCACATCCAGAGTAGTGCGAGAATTAAATGAGGGCATCCATGTGAAAACAAAAACAAAACCAAGGCCTGCCTGGGTCGCGATGGCTATGGATAGATTGAGGTAATCAAGGATCCCACGTTAGGGAAGTCTCTGGTGTCTGCGTGCTGTTCCCATCTTCCAGCAGGGGGGCGACTGTCTGCAGAGAAGACCTTTGAAGCCACATCTTCTGTTTGCTGGGAAAAGCAGAAACATATGTGAAGATTTTAGGAAAAGAATGAAGTATAAATCAATGTGATTGTCAATGTGAGTGGATGATTTGTTTAACGATTATGAAAAACCGCTTTATAATTCAATATTATTAAGTAGTGTACCAGCATTGAATGCTCTCTGAGAGATAACCATAGTTCACCGCAGGATAGTTTTGTGTGGTAGGTGTGGGTAAAGAGTACTCAATAAATATGTACTGAATAAATATAGGAACTTATGAAAGACTTGAACTAATCCTGGGCCTAAGTCTTGACTCTTCCACAAGCTGTGTGACTACGGCCAGATCACCTAAGCTCTCTGAAGCCTGAATTCTAAAATAGATGCAAATACTATGAAGGCTTATTATGCAGATTAAGAATATTACAGGTGAGGCCTTAGCTCAGTGAACAGCATGTAGTGCAGGTCCAAGTGACTCATTAGTTACTATGGGGTTTGAGTGACTTCGTGGGAAATTAAAATTCTGCATAGCTCCCTTTACCCTTAATCCTAGTTCTTACACGCGCATCGAATCCTCTAACGGTATTACAAGATGCGTGTTCATATTTAGTTTTAGAGATGAGGAAACTGAGGTTTGAAGATGTGCTGTCTGCAGTCGTGCTGTTCAAATTCCGCAGGTAGTCCCCATCCCAAGGTGAGCAGCTGTATGGAAAGCATTTTTCTCTCTGGAAGCTGCAACTGGTTGTCCAGATCCCGTCTTCAGACAAACGACTAATGTTATCTCCATCCCCATTCATAAGCAGCAAGAGACAGTCATGCTCCCTGGTTACCGGTTGTCCTGGTAACCTGATGGCACATCTGACTCGGTGCACAAATCCCACTCCAGCTTTAATCAAGGGCTGTGAGTCTATGTGGGAAAACAATGGTGCAGAAGCAAATCATCTTTACTTCCTGGTTTTTGTTTGTGTTTCACTTTGTTCACGTCTAGACACTGGGTCTATAAATTAGACATGCAGATTAGGGGAAGATAAAGCCTTGAAGGTGTGTGGACTAAAATTAGACACTGCCCCCCCATCGAGTTAGGAGTACTCTATTTCTTTGGCCCTAGGTGTGAATATATTTCGTATCCTAGGAGACACACTACAGGAAGTGGGCTGAAGTTGGCCTTTCTTGAGCATAGGATTAAGTGGCACTGTCCTTTAATCGTGACCTATGGGAGAGTAGACATTCCGTAACCAGCAGTACATACATTGCTTGCTAGGGAAGGAGTGAGCCCTAGATTGTGCTGCAACACTTCTGCACCCCACATCTCACCTGCACCACTGAAGATCCTTGGTGGCAAGACTCGCAGACCCACTGGGGCAATTTAGACAGAAAGGGAATTTAATACAGGACAGTGAGTGGCTTTCGGAGCACCAGGAATGTGTTGACAGCCACCAAGCCAGTTCTAATGTTCCAAATCCGCTGCAAAATTTATGTAATATCGTCACCTGAGTCTTATGTATGTATTCAGTTTGATTATCTCTACTTTTTAGGAGGGGGCATTCAGGACATTTATGTTGAATATAACATTTCCACCATCTTGCTGTTTTTGCCACTTGCCACCTCTGTTCACCCTTTTACTCTTTCTGTCTGTGATGCATTGTGTATCCTTCCGTATTGCATTCTGTCTCCACTTTTGACTTACTAGTTATGCCTCTTTTTTAGCAGGCGGAGAACTGGTGTTTGCTCTAAGACATACAATGTCTGTATATAAGTTCATCAGTCTTCGTCATCAAATAAAATCGTGTGACCTCACATATGCAAACCTTACAATACTGTTTCCATTTCTCCCTTCCTGCCCTCTGTACATTTGTTGTGACACATTTTACTTTAAACGAGTTATAAATCCCATGGACCATGACAGGGCTTTTCCTTTCAGAACTTTATAGACGTCATTCTGGTTCACACTTTCTTCTAGTGAAAAGCTACCTGCTGCACATAATTTGTTTGCCATGTGCATAATGTGTTCTTCTCTCTGGCTGCTTTGAAGATTTATCTTTGTCATTAATTTTCAGCAGTTTGATTATAATATGCCACGGTATGATTTTTTTGTTCTTTTCTGCTCAAGGATCGTTGAATTTGTAGGTTTGTGGTTTTTATACAAACTGAAGATTGTAAGGCCATTATTTGTAGAATATTTTTCTTTTCTACCCTTCTTCTGGTACTGTCCTAGAAGTCGCTGAGGCTCTATTCATTTATTTTCAGATACTTGTCTCTGTGCTTCAGTGTGAATAGTTTCTATTGCTGTTTTTTTGTTGTTGTTTTGTTTTTGGTTTTTTTTTTTTTTGGTTTTTTGAGCCAACATCTCACGTGTAGCCCAAGCCAGTCTCGAACTCACAGCAATCCTCCTGCCTCGGCCTCCCAAGTGCTGGAATTACAGGCATGTGCCAAAACAGCCAGCTCTGTTGCTGTATCTTTAAGTTCACTCTTCTTTTTTTTCTGCATCATCTACTCTATTTTAAGTCCATTCAGTACAATTTTTCATTTCAGATATATTTTCAGTGCCAAAAAAACTCTATTTTGTTCTTTTTTTATAATTACATTTCTCTTCTCATTAAAGAAATTTTGAGCATATTTACAGTTGCTCTTTTAAAGGCCTGTTTTTTATCATTTTGACATTATTACCTATTGACTAATTTTTCTTTTCATTATGAGTCACATTTTTCTGCTTCTTTGCCTATTTAAGAATCTTTGAATGCTGGACACTGAAATATTAAAAATATGGATTTTGTTATGAGCCTTTGATAACTGAATGTTGTTTTGAGTAGTAGTCAAATTACTTGTAAGTCACTTTCACCTTTCTAAGACTTCTTGTGGAAAAATACCTATATAACATGAAACGTACTGTTTTCTAGACTCATTGTTAACCTTTGTCAAGGAAGGTCTAGAGTAGCATTTTCTCTAGTGCTAATTAAGCCCTACTTCTGAGGTGTGACCCTCCCTTTCTAAAGCCCTGTGTGTTGATTAGCATTAGTGCTTGTATTATTGCTAAAAACTGATTCTGAGTGACATTTTAGGCTTGGTACTAGTTCAATGCACCATGAAACTTATTGCAAATGTGTTGTGAATAAGTGTGTCTCCTTCTTGAAATAAGCTAGCATGTTTTCCCTGAAAGCCCCAACTGAAATCTCTGCTTAGCAACTTTTCATGATTGCTTCGTTGTTGTCCCCTCACAGTGTGCTGTGATTTGAATATGATTTGGGTGTGCCCTCCCCTCCCGCTGAGGCTCATGGAAGCTTGGTCCTCATAATAATTTTGGGAGCTGGAGAGTTGGGTGATTGGGGGCACTACCCTTGGAAGGAACTGATATGGTTCTATCCGGTCCTAGCAGCAGAGTTGTTCAGCTGAGACTTTTAGACTTTTGAATTAATGCTAGAATTAGTAAAAACGTGAGGACTACTTGTATCGAACAGTTGTATTTTGTGTATAAGAAGGAAATTAATATGGGGGAGCTAGCGGTGAAAGACTATGATTTGACCTGCAGTCAGGTTGGAGCTAAATTCCATTCAGAGGCATTGAGAGGGTGGAAATTTAATCTGCTGTTAGAGGCTGGGCCTTTGGGAGGTGACTGGGGTTAGATAAGGTCATGACAGTGGAGTTCCCCTGATCAAATACTGGAGGCTTTTGTAAGAAGAGACAGAGACAGAGAGGGAGAGAGGGCACCCTGGCACACTCTGTGTCTCTTCCTTTGTGATGCCCTTAATGCCCAATGATGTAATGCCATCACCAGATGAGGCCCCTTGACTTAGGACCAGTCCCTGACAAAAATAAACCTCTTTGTTTATAATGTGCCCAGTCAATAGGATTGTGTTACTAGCAACAGAAAACAAAGTAAGACATAGTGGCTCTTTCATGTGTCTTTTCTTAAATTAGCAGTAATTGTGAATAGAGGAAAAAACCAAAAAAAGGTGAGAGCCCTGCGTTTATCTCTCTCAGAGGGATTTCCTCCATGTAAAATGGATGTGAGTAACCTGTTTCCTTGGTGTATGAGAGTTTAGGGAGAAGAAAATTTATGAAAATACTCCGAATTCTATAAATCAGTGGCCTATTCATTGTATTAGCCACTTTTGCATCGCTGGGACAAAATACCTGACAGATCCCACTTACCAGAGAAAAGGTTTATTTTGGCTCATGATCTCAGCAGTCTCAGTGTGTGGTTGACTGGCTCCAAGGCAGAAACATCATGGTAGAAGGCTGCAGCAGAGGAAGGCTGCTCGCCTTATGGCAGCCAGGAAGCAGAGCTGGAGTAAGGGGCTGGGGACAGGACATGCCTTCCAGATCACCCCCTGACCTGAAGACCTCCCTCCCACCAGGCCACCTATTCAGGTTCCCACCAGCTCCCAGTGGTATCAAGCTGGGCACTAAGCTTTCCACGACAGTCCTTTGGGGACTGCAGCAGATGCTGTGTTTTCACGGAGTCCTGCCAGATGTATGCCAGCTCATCCAGAGCTCACTGCACCTCACTACTCCATGGCGTGCTGTTACCGCAGCAGCCTCTCACTCCCTGCCCGCTCTTAGCAGTGAGTCCCCAAAGTAGACCAGCAGCGATCTTGTGAAAATTTGAGCTGCACAGCCTTCGTCTAACTTGTACCACCAAGAGGTGTGAGGCCTTGCACGAGATCCCGCTGATTTAATCTCCTCACTCACTTAGTCCCGTCCCTCACGTCCGTCCAGCCGCAGAGGCCTCTCTGTCTCCAGCCCGTGGCCGTCTCTTGGGAGGTCCTGCACATGTCACGCGACAGACTACGTGGATAGTTTCCCACTGTATGCATGCTTTTACTCCAGAGTTGCTTTTTCTGGAGCACCACTGTAAAAAGATGATCTAAAATGTTAATCTCTCCCCAACACTGCAGAGCCCCCTTTCCTGCTTGACTATTTCTCCGTCCAGTATCATGTTTACTTTACTGTATTTACTGATTTTGCTTTTTTTTCCCCTACTGAAATTTGAGCTCTTGGCATGTAAGAATTTTGTTTCTTTTTTTATCCTCAGCTTCAAAATAAGTGGCACATGGTAAGGCTCCGTACATATTTTCTGAATGAATGATACATCTACCCGAAGCTATGCTAGCAGGAATAGGTTATCTTCTTCTCTCCTCTAAATACTGACACAATTTCTGCAGAAACTAAACCACATCAAAAAGGCTGCGCGCCGGTCATCGTAATCTTAATGGTATCATTTATCGAATCTTCACTGTGCACCCGGACCAAGGCTGGGAGGTTCGAAAATGTGCTCAAGATGACAAAGCTGAGAGGAGGCCATGTCATTCACGTGGTGCCTTCACAGGGACCTGCTGTGCACCGAGGCTCCCAGGCTGTGGGCAGGGACCTGGAGGAATCCACCCTTCAAACCCCATCGGACTAACGCGTGGGTCCCGCTGAGGAGAGATGTTGTTTTGTTTTTAATATTTCACTGCATCAGAGTATGTAGTGGCCTTTTTCCTCATAAGACGATGTAGTATTTTTTACTTATGAGATACTAGAATTGTATTAGTAGTGAACATTGCATTCTTTATTTGACACCAGAAGATTTAGAGGCAAGGGTCTGCTCCATTGAAGCCCATATTGTATGAATTTAATGCTTGTTTTCCTTTGACCTTCTTGTGTATTTCTGATTCATGTTTTCTGGCAGTGTTTTTGCCTCTCGCAGCCTTCTTCAATCCCCTTTGGGAGTGAGGCAGGGTGTGAATACCTAGGTGTCCCGCTTTTGTGCCTCGCATGGCTAATACTTCCACTTATCACTTTAGGAAGTAGAGGTGCAGCTGGAGGAAGTAAAGAAGAAATCAGAAAAGGAAATAAGGCAGCTGGAAGAAGAGAAGTCAGCCCTAAACGTGCAGCTTCAGAGTTCTCTGCTTGAGGTAAACCCCCCGCGATACGACATTTGGGGATGACATTTGGGACCTTCTGGCTGACAGGCTGAAGCCTCCGCCTCCTTGCACCCCAGGAACAAAGACTAGGGTGCTCAGCCAGCCCGGAAGCTATCTTACAGGGCATACATTTATCTTGAAGCAATAGAGAACCTGATTTATAGGCTTAAACAAAGAGGCCTTTACTGTCTCACATAAAAGAAGGATGCAGGGACAGCTGGTGTTGATTGTGTGGCTGAAAGATATTGGAATTGTCAGTCTGCAATCTTTCCTGCTTTATCACTTTTGTGGGCCTAAAGCATCTCTGTCTCCCTGGGCCCTCCTTTTACTTAAAATAAAATACACACACACACGTTTTATGACAGTGTTGATGGAATAATAAATGTAACCCAGACTGTGTTTTTTCTTCTGATGTTAAAAGAAGTGGAAACATTTTCACAGGCCCTTAAAAGTATTGAAGGCCAGCAAGGGTGGAACACACCTGTAACCCCAGCTACTCAGGTTCTTAAGTTTGAGGCCAGCATGGGTAACTTAGCAAGACTGTGTCTCAAAATAAAATTAAAAGATCTGAGGATGTAGCTCAGTGGTAGAGTGCGCTTGGGTTCAATCCTCAGTACTAATAAATAAATAAATAAAATTTAAAAGTATTGAAGAACTAGTGTAAGAATTTAGAGACAAGGTTGTTGAGAGCCATTTTTGATCCTGATAAAACCAAAAATACGAAGAGGTTTTCTTCCTTTCCCTGCCCCTTTTCACACCTTCCGGAGAAGACTTGTGTTTCCCACTGGACCCAGGAACACATGAAATTGGTTTTTATTCCTCGCTAAGGTGCACCACAACTCCTGAGGACTTTCTTTTTCAGTGCCGGGCAATGAACTCCAGGCCTCACACATGTTAGACAAGTGCGGTACCACTGAGCTACACCACCAGCTTCAGGGGACTTTTAAACATACAGAAGCCAGGCACAGAACAGTGTCAGCTGTCCAGAAATACATATCCATGGAGAGCCGTGCCAACAGTGCATGAGTGTGCTAGGCCAGAACCTGGACCCATGGTTATTTCTGGAAGGGAGAGAGCTCGGTGGATGAGGAAGAGGTGTAAAGGGCTGTAGCCCTATTTGTGATGCTATTTCTGTGGCTAAACATTGAGTAAACAGGTATCGATTATATTTTTCTCTAACCTGTTTTCTACTTCTGAAATTATCATAAAAGTCAAAGGCGGTGAGCACACTGTGCCTGAAACTTAATCCGTCAGGGACCAGAGGTGGGTGTTGTGAGAAGCCCTGTACTGGAGGAAAGGAGCCCATTTCTCACCTTCTTCCTCCCTCCCTCCGGTTCCTTCCTTGCTCCTCCTTTGCCTTCTCCCTTCCGGTTGAGCCGTGCCACCGGCCTCCACATTGTACCCGGACTGCTCTGCAAGCCTCAGCGGGCCTCATGGATGTGTCTGAGGCCAGCCTAGTTATTCTTCTGGTGTGGATGCCTGGATCACATCACAGAAACTTGACTATGTCTATCACTTAGAATCCCTCTTTAAAAATAAAAATCATTTCCCTTTGTGAAACACTTTTTGCCACCTAAGAAATCTATATTCATACATACTCTTTTAATCCTCACAGTCACCTTACCGTAAAGACACTTATTATTATCTCTAATTTAGAAATGATGGAATGGGGTTAGAGGAAAGGCAAACCACTTCCCCAAAGTCAGACACAAAAGAGAAAATCTGAGACTCAAACCCAGGCAGTGTGGCTCTAAAGACCCACCTTAGCCGCTATGCAGTATGGCCTCTGTTTGCCTCTTTGGTAGATAAGGATCACCCAGGGCTACGGATTGCAAGCCATGACCAAGAGTCTAGCTGTGGATGCAGTGCCTCAGTCTTACTCCTCAGCCTGGCTACCTTTTCCCACACTGAAGGTGCTCGCATCCGCACATTCCCTTGGCGGAGCTGCAGAAGGAAGCCACCCTCGACCGCACTCCCACTGGGTCTCCAGTCCCAACCTGTTCCGTGGTTACATCCACTCGGTTGTCAAGTTCTGTGGGTCCTCTGACCCAAGCCTGTCTCGGTTATTCTTCTCTCTACACCGCCATCTGGGACAAGATGCTCAAGATGGCTCGCCTGGACTCTTACTTCACCCCCTTATAGATGTTACATAAACAATAGCTGTTTGGGCATGGTGGCAACGTGCCTGCAGTCCTAGCTACTTGGGAAGCTGAGACAGGAGGATTGCTTGAGCCCACACCAACCTAGGCAATATAGAAAAAGCCAAAGACAAATGCACAGGACTCCTCAATATTTCACAAACCTTAGCAAGGCACAGTATAAAGAGATTCTAATGATCTTGAAATAGTTCATTCTCAAATATTCCTTGTGTAAAGCCAAGCAGATGCTAGATGGCCTTGCTATTTCTCTGAGATGTTACCCACATCTTGCACGAGTTGTCTCGAGTTGTCTCCCTGCATCTGCACTCTCTCTAGGATGGTAAATTCCAGAACTCAGGTTCTAAAACCTAAATCTCCTCAAGGCCTCACTCCTCCTTCCCTAAACTCTAACCCTGTGTGTTTTCCGATTTAGACTCAACCTAACTTGCCACCATCGCTCCCCAAGACTCTGCCCTCTCTGTCCACTCCTTCATGCTGAACCTTCCCTGTGTGCAACCGAGGTTTAGTCTTCCCACCCATCCCACCTGCTGGTCTTGCTGCCCAAATCCACTTTTCCACCTTCACCAGTGGCAGACTCCTATTCATCCTTTGTTGACCTGAAAGCTCCCTGGATTCTGAGAGTTTCTGTGCGTGGTATTCACTTCATAGTGGCTGTTTTGAGGGCTAATATTGTAAAGTGCCTTGATCTGTGGCTGACGCAGAGGAAATATGCCATTAACAGTGCTACAGTTTTGTATGTACCTTTACGAAGTGTTGCTATGGTTATGAGCCCCCTCAAAATGATAGGTCTTTCAAGACAAGGGACCATTTTTCTATCCTGCTGTCACTCTGTCCCCTCCCTCTTCCCTCCCTGTACCCAGCTGCTGCCTGAAAAGCATTAGATTTTCTACACATATTTGCTAGCAATGTCCAAGTTTCCTTCATGGTTATTGGCCTCATTCTTTTTCAAGTCTGGAGGGGAAACAGTCTGTTCAAGTGATAAGCTACAAGTAGTTGATTAGTGACAGCCATCATAATTAAAGCTTTATAATTTAATAGCACCTCCCAGCTACTCTTCTCTCAATTCATCCATACGATTCTTAAAATATTTTCATTTTCTTTACCAAATACTTTTTCAAAGGAAATTGAGAAGTATAATACTTCTCTGCCCTAGGCATCTAATAAATTTTGTGTGTTCTTCTCTCTTTTAAAAAAAAGAAATTGAGTTGCCTGCCAGGAATAGCATAAAAAAGCCAGCAAAAGTCACCCTGTGGGTCTATTATAGATATATGCAAATAACTTTGAAATCAAGTGTAGAATAATATAAACCTGCTAAGCTCATAGTTTTCTGGAAAGATTAAGCAACTAGCTAATTAGTGATGGCTTTTCTAGAAGCATGCTTAGAATTGGTCTGATGGGACGCTAGAACAGATTGACCCAGGAGAATTGATTTCCAGATTAATGGCCACATCCAGGAGGCAGGACTTTGTTTTTTTGCCTACTGTTTCTTGTCTTCTGTTTTAGGTTTTAAGACTGGAAGAATTTATCCAAAAACATAAGGTACCTCTCCAAAGAGCTGAGGAAAGACCCCAGGAATTAGACTGCCAGCCCTGCAGCATTCCGGAGACCCAGGTAACCCCCCAGCCTTTTCTGCTTCAGTGAGGGATATTTCTCATCTGTGTTTCAGCACTTCTGCATCCCCAGTGACTCACATTGATGTTAATGGGCCCCTTTACATCCTCCCTCAGCACTGCCAAAGGCCTGGGGAAAAAAAATCACTACAGAATCCATTTGCAAAAACCATGAAGGAAATAGAGTTGTGAGTAATTATCCTCGCCACTTGAAAAAGAAAAGGGCGTGTCAGATTCATCTTCTCTCCTCTGAGAGCAGACTGGCTGACAGATAAAAGGGGCCTTTGATTCTGACCAGCGTTAACCACCACAATGGTGACAGCCCCGGGCACCTCCCTCCACACCCTCACCCCCTTTATGCTCACAGTGGCTGTGGGGGTCCAGCCCCCACTGGTCGAACAGTACCTGAAGGAGAGAGTGAGGGTTGAAAAGGAAAGACACTCTAGGCAGAGTGGAGACAAAAGACTGTCTGCTTTAATTGAGGCAAACTTGGTTATTTATACACATATCATCAGCACATTATCTTGTGTAGATACACAAGAAACATCTGCAGAAAGACATCACAAGAGAATGTTTAGACACCATAATCTTTTACGATTCCTAAGGTCAAAAGGTATTCACATGCACTTTGGGCTGGAATGTGGCTTCATTAAGTTGATAGATTAGCTCCTTGTTAACCACTTCTGGTTTTCTGCATACTATTGTTAGGTGAGAGTTTCAGTCTCCCCACAAGTGGCCCTTCCACGAGGGCTGTCTTTTCAGGGGTCTGGCTCAAGGATGGACAGTGGCTACTCTGTGTCCTGCTCGTGGTAAGCCGTATTACATTCCTAGGACTGCTAGAATCAATATAATCAATTATCACATGTTTGTTGACTTCAACAGCAGAATTATTCTCTCACAGTTCTGGAGATCAGATGTCTGAAATCACGGTATTGGTAGAGTTGCTTCCCTCCACAGGCTCTGAGGGAAAGCCCGTTCCTTCCATGCCTCTCCCAAGCTTCCAGTGGCAACCCTTGGCGCTCTTTGAGTCTTAGATGCGTCACTCCAATCTCTGCCTGTCATCACACGACCTCCTCCGTGTGCCTGGGTCTGCGCATTGCCTTTGTTTAAGGCAGTGACATTAGTCACTGGATTTAGGACTAAACCTAATCAAAAAATGGCTTGGTCTTGACTAATTACATTTGCACACACCGTATTTCCAAGTTGGTATTTGAGTACCCCAGCTTGAATAACCCTTGGATTCCTATTTTTTGATGGCAAAAGCCATTAAAAAAAATCATTGTCTTCAATTTTCTTATTTTATTGCTGCCCCAGATTTTCAGTATGCTTCAGACTCCGGGAGTGAAAACACAATGTAGCTGAGTCTGACTCTTACTATGTCAGCCTCAGTTTCTTTTTCACCCATTTCTGTGCACCTCCATGTCATTAGGAACTGTCATTTTTTTCCTCCCTTGACAGGATTCTTGCAGGGTTTAAGCACTGGTCCTGACAGTAACCCTTATGTCACGCCCCCGTCCCAGGATGACTCCTACTGAACCACATATTCACCAGGGAAATAGGGAGCCATAAATTTAGCAAATGTGGATTTGAATAGAAATTAGCATTTGTATGGGAACTGGTCAGTTATAGGGCACAGTTCACATCTCCAGCTTTGTTGGAGTTTTGGAACAAATCTCTATTGTAGTACTCATTGTACAAAGGATGAAACTCAGGTTCATATTAATTAGGTGACTCTCACACGTCAGTCAGATAAGCAGCAGAGCCAGGATGGAACCACTGGCTCTGAACCCCCACCTCACTGTAAGAGTATCAAGTACCCAGGATGCCTTCCAGATGGAAAAGACCCAGAGGTTAAGGACAGCAGCCCAGGACTCCCTGGGTTTTCCTCTGATACCAGGCTGAGCATTCCCAATGCCCTGTGGAAGCCTGGAGGGGAAGCTAGAAGAGTAGAAGCACTTCTTCAACAGGGCCTGTCCCTCCTGATACAAGCTGTCCCTAACCTTTCCGAAGACTCCTGCCTGAGACACATGCGGATGTCTTCCTTCACCCTCAGTTTCTTAGGAACCAACCTCATGAGCTAACATTCAGGAGAAGAATCCTGCCTTCAGGAACAGCTGACCTTTTCATGGGTTTCCTGCAAGATTTCCCAAAAAAGTTGTTCCTCAGATAGTCAAGTATTTGTCAGGCCCTCAAAGTGACCACAGCAAGATGAATTGGAGTTGTCCAGGTCCACAGTTGAACTTAAACTAAGGTTGTAAAGTAGACACTCAATGCAAATGCAGTTCAGGAAGCTTGCACAGCTGTACTTTTAGGAGTGCACACAAATACATGTAACCTCTAAATATGTTCCAGAACTTCTGAACAAGGGTCTAACAGTCAAGGTCATATTGTGCATGAGCCAGTGCTGTCCCTGCAGCTCAGGGCTTCTCAGCTTCAGCACCTGACTTCTGGACGTGGATAATTCCAGAGGCTTGTGCTGTGCATTGTAGGATGTTTAGCAGCATCTCTGAGCTTATTTTTGAAAGAAATACAGATTTTTCCCACATAAAATTGCAAAAGGAACCTCAATAAATATCAGTTCCATTGGATTCAACTTACTATTCATTCATCCCACAAGCATTTGTGGGGCACTTGGGATGTGCTGGCCTCCGAGGCAGATGTTAGAGCAGAGATGTGCATGAACAAACAGCTTTAAAATGACGTGGACATTTACTAATAGAATTGAACAACTGGCGCTGTGTTTTCTATTTAGCAATTATTATGCACTTTGCAGTATTGCATATGCTTTCTAATTCAGTTTTTTCCCAATAAATAACCCAAGTCTGCAGTTGAATTTAAAAGGTACATAAGGACAGCAGTGAGAAGCATCCCTTTGCCTCATGGTCCCTATGCTGGGAAAACTAGTTCTTTTGTCTTATCTCTTCCTATATATTTTTTCGGAAACTGCTGTGCATATGGAGGCACAATGTGCATATACTTTTTCCACAAACAATGGCATGGTCTCCTGTGCTCTGCTTCTCTTAAATTTTTATGGCACACATACGCTTCCATCTCAACTTTGTTTCTTACAAGAGAAACTAGCTTGGTTCTTCTCTGTGCGGAAAAGCCATAGCATGATCTTCCCCTTTTTAACTTGGGCCTATTATAGATGACACTTCAGTGGATAACAATGTGGAAGGGTATAGTGCAGTATCATAGGTAAGCAGCTCACCAGCAAGCCAGATGTCTGGGTTCTGACTGCCTGCATGACCTTGGGCATATGCTTAGCATCTCCTTCCTTCAGCTTTCTCATTTGTAAAATAGGGATGATGCTGACACCTACCTCAGAGGGTTTTTGTGATGGGTAAATGAATCAATATCGGACCAGTGTCACAGTATATGGCAGCTCTGAGCATGTGTCAGTAACTCGTAGTGCTGCAGAACTCCTGGGTTGGGGGTATGTGGGGTTTTAACTTTGACAGATGCCTCCACACTGGCTCCCACCAGGTGGGTGTTCTGCACGTACCCCACCAGCAGCACATATACACACCTGTTTCCACCCAACCTTGCCAACACTGAATTACAAAATATCCTGAACTTGGCCAATCGGAGAGTTATAATTTACTTCAGATATCACTGGCAAGCCACCTACATGCCAATCTGTGAGTAGATTTGTCTGGTCTGGATGCTATGTGAGCAGCATCCCACAGAGTAGCCAGACCTGCAACAACGCAGGATGAGACATGAGGAAGACATCATGCCAAGGGGGTGAGGGGGCTTGGACAATCCGCAGGCCAACCTCCTCGGGACAGCGACACCAGCCAGGGGGTTAACTGACAGATCCTTAATTGTCCTGCCAAAGCATTTCAGTGAGTAAAGAGAGAGAAAAATAATAATCCCAACTGAGAGCAGAATTTTCACCCCCTCCCCAGATCATGCACAGAGAGGGCTTCCAGGCTTGTGTGGCTCTGTCTGCACTAAATTTAGCTAGGACCTTTCTGAACCTTTTGTCCATCTTTCTCATGTCTCCTGATTCTTTTAGACTTATGCTATCACCCATCAGTTCCTGGAAAGCCATTGCAATCTTAGTAATTCCATAGGAAAACTTTTCTGGAAGACTCCTTTGGAACAAACCTAGGGCACATTGACCCTCATAGGGGACAGAGAGGTTAGTGGTTTTCATAGATGCATCTGCCTGCACCATCTCCGGAAGGAAAATAAGAGCCACTGTGGTGATTTTTATTCAAGTCACTTTGTCTCCACAGATATTTATGAGCATTGTCACCACACATACCACAGGACTGGATGTCCAGGTGAATGCCCTTGGCCCTTGGAGGGCTCCACTTCAGATAAGAGAAATAATTATTTACTTAAATAATGACCTGCATGATGAGTGCTATAATAATGTCAGGAACATTGTTGCGCAGAACTACCACAGAGGGATTTTCTTCCCAGGTGGTCCAGGATGGTTTTCCAGAAGAAAGACATCTGCTGACACTTAGAGTTGAACAAGACCTCACCAGGAAGGGTCATGCCAAGTGAGGAGGAAGACAACACAAGATCCCTGAGGCCTGTGGGAAGGCGGACAAGGGGGTACCTAGGCTGAAAAGGGTCCCTGCTCACCAGAGGCCCTGCATGGCTCACTGGGCACATATCTAGAGGATCATATTGATCCAAGGTGTTGGCTGATAAGGATGGCTGAGCTTTTAAACCACCGTGATTTCTGGAGTAGCCTCAGGCCATTAACAGCTGGCATCCTCTGGTGGTGTTATTTGAGATGTATCTTTTGGATCTAGAGTGTTCTCCAGAGGCCAATGAGTTCATTGCTTGATCCTCACCTTGGAACTGCTGGGAACTGGTGAAACTTTTACTAGGTTGGGCCTAGGGGAGGAAGGGAGGTCATTGGAGGCATGTCCTTGAAGGAGATTTATTACCCCATTTCCTCCTCTCCTCTCTCTTCACTTCAAAGCCACTATGAGGTAGGCAGCTTCTTCTGAAATGTGCTCCTGCCGTGATATACTG